CATCAGTGATGGCGAACCTATGACACGCGAACTCATTTTTTTGGTTGATTTTTCTTTGTTTAATGGCATTTAAATATATAAAATAAATATCAAGAATATAAATCTTTGTTTTACTATGATTGAAAATATCAAAAAATTTCTACATGTGACACAGCACCAGATGTAAGTTAAGGTTTTTCAAGATGCTGACATGCCGAGCTCAAAAGGTTCGCCATCACTGGTCTACATACTACATGCCAGGAGTCATAGTAAGTATTTTATATTCATATATTCTCTTGTTGAGGCCTTAGAACAATAGAATGAGGCAGCTAATATCTCTATTTTCAGATAAGAAAACCGAGGCTCAGAGAGCTTACCTTGCCCAAGGGTACAGAGCATTAAATCACAAGAAGTAATGTCTTCCCCAAAGCCCACACTCTATCTTGTCTTTACTACAAGAATATACGAGACCAAGGCCCTGCTGCCTCAAGGCAACAGGTTCTCGATCATACTTTTTATTCAGCGGCTTGTTTATCAACCTGCCTCTACCTACAAACAAAGGTCACCCTTTATTTCTTTATTTCTTGTGTTCAGTGGGGCTTACTTAAAGCTGGACAGTCCCCTACACTTGAAACTAAAACAAAATAACACTGAATGTAAAAAAAGAAAAAGCTGACGCTGGCCAGTGTGGCTCAGTTGGTTGAGCGCTGTCCTGTGCACTGAAAGGTCACCGGTTTGCTTCCCAGTTAGGGTTCCAAAAAAATGAAAAAGCTGTACAGACAGCTTCAGTGGGTAACCTATGTGAGTTACAGATATCATTTAGATAGTAATTTGGTGGAAAGGGGTTAATAAGTTAGGTAGTGCTAACAAGGCAGGGCAGAGGTGAAAAAGCCCATTTGTAGGGATTCTAGGACAGTCAAGGAGACAAAGGTTTGGGCTTTTGATTGCTTCATAGAGAGGAGGATGGATGAAGAGACTTGACCTGTGGGAAATGACAGACTAACCAAGTCACGCAGATGGAAAGGAGACAGGGACAAATGAATCAGGGAGCAGCAGAGTCAAAAGATTCCCCACAGCAGAGTCAAAAGAGGGTGTACTTTGAGAATGTCATGTCTGCATATATTGGGAAGGCAAGCCCTACAGAAGTCAGCTACTAGAGAAGCATAAGGAATGATTGAATGAAAAAATGAGAGACAATGAGGACAAAAAAGGGGAGGGAATTTGCAAAGGGGATTGAAAAGTAGAGAGGAAGTTGTTTTTAGAAGTCTTGGGGGGAGGGGTGCAGACAGGAAGCCACTGATGAATTCTAAGAAGACAACCCATGTATATCCCAGCAAGAAAAGAGTGCTAAAGGCATCTTGGTATGTTTCACACTGTGCAACTTGCTACATTTGGTGTTATCAGAACATCTTCAGCTCTACGAAGACTTTCATCTCTGTGTAGGTAAGTCATTTAGCTCCAAAAATGGTTTGCTAAATAAATAAATAAATAAATAAATAAATAAATAAATAATATAAAACAAATCATTAAGTGAGGATTTTTCAAAGCGCTTTTTAGTGCTTTTAAATTTATAGATTTCACGTAAGATTTAAAAGTGTGTGTATTAGTGTGTGTGTGGGGGAGGGAATTTCTAATTTGAATTGGGTACAATGAATCATCTAGAAGAGAATAAAGAAATGAAACGAAAATGTCAAAACAAGGAAAGAATTGGGAATCATAAATGACCATATCGACTAAATCGAAGACCCTCAATTATTTTTTTCTCTAACTTCAGTCCAAACATTTAAGAATGAATTTGTTGAATGGTAGATTAGATAAATAATTTGGAATTTTAATGGAGGCACATAGTGTTCAAAAATTTGGCAAAGCCACAAAAGCTGCTCAGCCATTGGAGCTCCTACAGGCAGCGCCTGCTGAGAGCACTGACCAGGCCTGGGCCTGCACAGAATGGGCCGGTCTCCAGCCTCTGCTCAAACACAGCTGAGCACTGGCCCTTCAATCACCTCCTGGCAGACAGCAGCCACATTCACCTCCACCTCCAGACCCTCAGGAGGAAAGCCTTACCTGAGCAAGCCACAGCCCTCCCCCCCATTTCAGAACACGCTTTATATTCAGAGGGGCTTGTGGAAAACTCTTAGTAAGTAACGCCTCCCCCAATAATTATCACCACAGAACCTCAGACTGAATCCTTTAAGATAAATGGAATATTGAATACATATGAGAGTGACTGCAGTCTTCCTAAGAACAAATAAAAAGAAACATATAATGAAATAAAAATAGACTAGGTAGGTGCTAACCAAAAGTGTTTACCAAAGTAATAGCTGACATTCCACAATTTCAAGATTATTGTAAATACATAGCTGGCTGACCTGGAGCTGTGTGTAAGTGCAAAATGAGTGCAGGTTTGGTTGTTGTCCAGTTAGGACCAATCCCTGAAGTAGCCAAACCAGATAATCTAGTTTTAAAAAAAATCTAATAGTGGCTGGATTACAAATCTCCCAGTGACCATTTTTAAGTCTGTGCTAAATTTACAGTGTATAGCACAACACAGTGTGTAAAAGGTAATTTCTGATTCCAGGAATTTACACTTTAATAATTATCTGGCTTTTTACTGCCTAAGTGGCTCAAATTAAACAAGTAACTATATACCATGCATTTCACTTTGCTTTGAGGAGATACTGCCTAAAAAAGCAAAGCAAAGCAAAACAAACCCCACCACCAACAACAAAGACTCTAACCTGCTGGAATAGTTGCAATGAAATGGTCTTAAATTTTCTGGGAGAAGAAAACAGCAATCACACAGGACATCTTAGAGAAGTCACAAATGATTCTTTCTTTAATAGTGATTTCAAGTAACAAGTTCTGGGACCAGATAGTCTTGGTTCAAATCCCAGCTCCACCACTTTTTAGCTATGTGGCTTTGGATAAATTGCTTAGCCTCTCTATACCATAATTTCACATTTGAAAATGAGTATAATCATACCCACCTCATAGAGTTATTGGGAGAATTAAAGATGACAATGCTGTATTGTCATGGTGTCTTAAGAAATGTTATTTATCACTCCTCTACCTTTGTGTCATCTCCTACTTAAAATTACAAAATTCTCTCCTTAAAGTTGTCTCTTATTAACTAGAGAGAAAACAGGCTGATAAGAAAGGGAAAGTAGATTGCTTCAGCTATTGGCTCATTTTGTAGTCACTCCAAGGTGTCAACCTGTCATTTTGGTCCGTAGGAGAAGTCAGTATTTTTATCTGGTGAAAGTGTCCACAACCTAATAAAAATCCCGTCTTTACATCACTTGGCAGGGTATTCAACACCAGTAAGACCCGGCAGAGAGGCAGGGTTCTCCGTGAATGCCAGTCATAAGTTACATCATCTGTTGCTATGATGTTTTCTTTCCGTTCCGTCAGAGTCAAACAAAATATGAGGAGGTCACTGAATAAAAGTGACTTTAGACTTTGTCACTCTCTAGATTGCAGCGCTCATTGTCAATTTCAGTCATTTATACTTTCCCATAATAAATGTATGAACATAGTTTCTCTCTTTTCCCTGAAAGCCGATTTTTATGAACTAAAGCTCACCAACAGGGGCGGGGGCGGGAGGGGGGGGGGCATGCTCACTGCCGGCTAAGCAATGTCTGGTTCTGTCATTGCTCTGAATAAGGAAACTGTGGCTATGCGGGGTGAACGACATTAAGAGAACGTTCCTGTCAGATGAAAGTGCTTGTTTCTGGTTGCATCTTGAAGTCAAATATTAAGATTACCCACTCCTCTGATCTTTCCTATTGAGGCAGATAATGGAAAGCTGATAGTAGAGTGATAACGGGTACCTGTGTCTCCAAATTTCAAGAACTATAACTCATACTTTATAAGCAAAGGCTTTCACCATGTAGATTTAGAGCTTTGAGTAAGATTTATAACTTCTGAACAAAAGATTTATCACTGAGGTTAGCTAGTGGCTATTAGCCAGATCCAAGTATTTACAACATCACATTAAAAAAGATGGGCCTGAAGCTACACAATTCAGAGAGAAAGCAAAGTAGCTCCCAGCTAGCACAGTCCTGAAGGTCAGACAGATAATACAAATGGTCAATCCCAACACATAGCCACCTGGCCAGAGTTCATTTTAATAATAGCACTCTTTTTTTTTTTTTTTAAAGCACTAGGAGTTGTATCTATTCTTGAATAGAAATATTTATACTCCAAGGAAAATTCACACCCTATTCATTGCCATCTGCTTCGGTGCAGTGTCCCTGGGAGCTGCTTGCCTCCTAAATGGGGGGCGACTTAAAATGGGATATGCTGAGCAAGTTATAATCCTTTTGCCAAGAATAAACACACAAACAATGGTGTAAATGCATGGGGAAATGCTGCCTAAGTGTTAGGGCACTCTGCAAACTTCAGGGCCAGCAAACTGGCCTCAGACTTCAGATCCTCAGTCCATTCAAATGCCAATAAAAGTGTTTTCAAAAAATAGGCAAACACTCATTTGCTCTTACAACCAACATCATTCAAGGATGTCAAAATTCTTCATCATCAGCTGTATAGTAGGACCTAGGGCTTTTACTCTCTCCCACCAACAGTACACAAGGCAAACTGCTTCCCAGACCAAACCTTTAAAACATAGGCTGGAAACTGCTTCAGGAGCCGGAGACTCAGCAGTGCTGATCCCTCTCTCATTACATCTCCCGGCTCCCCCAGACAGTGGAGGCCAGGCCTGGGGGAGCCGAGAGACTTGAGCTAATACGTGCTCCGCTTTAAGTCAGACACCCTCTGCTCTACCGTGGCTGCTGCAGACCGGCTCTAAGACCAGTTCTCCAAAAATTTCAGAGGAGATGGACGCTGGTGTACGGTGAACTCCGGGAGTGGATCTCAGAGACTGGGTCCTGCCTGCTGGCTTGTATGCCAACCTCAGTGACTGAGACCCATCTCAAAACTCTCTCGGGCACACAGGGCTCTCTGCAGAGTCGGCACGGTAGGAAACACACACACGAAACCTTATATAAAAGGCACTCCCTTACCTTATACTTCATCTCGGCAGCGGTGAATTGAGCCGTTTTCCGACACACTAGTTAGACTGCATGAAGCACTGGCGTGTCCGCCCCTCCATGGAGTGCAGTGCTAAATGAAAGTGAGACGTCCCGGGCTGGGGCCGGTTTGTCAGTCGCAGCGCAGAGCTCAGGCACAGCTAAGCTCCAAAGCTTCTGAGCTCACTGTTTTGACTGAGGCGGGCCTATCACGGTCTGCATTTGCATACCGCCCCACCATTGGCTAGTGGGCCAAGGTAATGAGATGCCCCGCCCACTTCTTAACTTATGAAAATTCCTGACAAAGAATTTGTAATGCGATCATTTCTCCTTACATTATCAGAAAGGGTGGAAATACAACACAGTGGGGAACCGTTCCCAACTTGCCTCCACCCCCCCCCAAAAAAAAATAAACGGGAAAAAGAGATAAATTCTTAAGATTAACCTAAGTTTTAAAGAAATCGAATTCACAAAGCAGTCTGAAAGTCGTGCTTCCTGTGACCTAGCAACTCCTTCATAAACCCATTTCATCTGAAAGCCATTCACCTCACAATCTCTACATGAAACGAACTCTGGGGAACAAAAGGTTTTCTGTCTCCGGGCCCCTTTTTACTAACTACCCCTGCTGATATCTCTCTTGCTTTCCTTCTCTCCTCCCGCCCTTCCTTTTTGTGTGCCTGTTTGCTTTTTTTGTTCTTTTCAGTGTTCAAAGTACTTGCGACATCAGTCTGCAAGGAGCCAGAATACAATTCTCCCTCAGTGAAAGGAACTCCCTAGCCCAGGCACCAGGATTTCCCTGGCCAGCTTCTCATGAGGGCCTCAGAGAATTGAGTGTCAGCCCCATTCAGAGACCTTCGCTGACTTTGCCGAGGATAAAGGTTAGATGTGACCCCTCAGATGGGGCTGGCCAGTGCACGCCCTATAGATCATCACTGTCTATTGAGTACTATGTTCTTTGATGGTTGGCATTTCTAGCTCCAGCTCTAACAGGGCAGTTTTTCCTTCTGACCTCTCTCCTGAAGATGGCCCATTAACCCACCAACACTTATTATCTGGGGAACAACAACAAAAAAAATGCTGACTGTTTGATGAGCCTGGTTAAAAAGACCAGTCTCTCTCCAGTGAAGCACAGAACATTTGGTTCAGCTTCATGATTTCTGTAGAGAAAGCCATTACCCAGGAAAAGACAGAAATGGTCACCTTCGGCAACTTTTCTGAAGGATAGAGAGGCGAGGGACAATTCCTCTAGTGGGCCTCAGGATTCAGACATGCTCAGTGCAGACAACAGCTGTCCCTGAGTGGGATGGACACCAACCAGAGTACACGCCTGGGATGGAAAACACAGTCCTTATTTTTTTTTCCTGGCCAAGTTGGTCCAGAATCTGTTTGATTTGTCCCCCTCACCCCTCCGAAATTCTCAATGGATTAACACTACTTTTATGATCTAAGCAAAAAGCACAGGAGAACAGCTGCCCCACAAAAGTGGTTTCCAGATCCAGGGCTCACAGTTCAGTTCAAAATTTCATGTGGCACCTATTCCCTGGACATGACCCCCAGGCAGTCATAATGAGGTTGACATACAGGTTCTGGCATCCACTAGACCTTGCTTTTCCTCATTTAGCCTTTGAGTGCAAATGAGCCGGAGTGACTTTTCAAGGTCTTTCTGAACACGAATTAAGCATGCAGCATACGGCACTGCGAAGGTCTTCTGGACGGTCCCACAGACTCATGGGAGAGTCGTTATTTTGCAGAAAACTGTTTTCTGAGTCTGCCTGGATTAGACAAAGGCCTTCCCATCTGTAAGATGAGTCTTGCGGCCTCCAGGAGATCTAGATAACATTCCTTTGGCTTCCTAAACAGTAAAGCTGAACCCTCCTTCTGTGTTGTTTGATGAGTACCATTGAGTAGTGTCTCACCCCATTTTACTGCTATCAAATACTTTCCCAAAGCATCTGCTAGGGCCTTTTGTCATCTAATTCTCTAGTTGGAAAGCTTAATTCATACCAAGTGGTCCTCCCACTTTCCTGTTTCTGTCCTGTTCAGTAAGACAAAAATCTACCTGAAATTCATTTCAAGGTGGTTCGGGTCACTGGAATTTTAATTATATAAAGAAAAGCACAAGGGTATTGGAGGCAGATAAACTTGTGTTAGGATATTAACAAATTTCTTAACTTCTGATTTTGGTGTCCTGAAGTATATACTAGTATCGAGAAACTAATAATATCTACCTGTTAGGGTCATCATGAGGATTAAATTGGATAATGTGGATAGGAGTTAATAGTACTTGGCACATAGTAAGACCTAAATAAATGGGTGTTTATTATCATTACCATTGTTAATTATTATTTTAATATTACATATTACTTTATTAATACATTACATCACATTGTTAAATATAGCATATAAATAATATAAATATTTAATTAGTTTATTAATTAGAATATGCTTACCCCTAGACGTACAGATGCGTGTGGTAGGCATTCAGAAAAAGAGGGTGGATTCCCTCATCTGTATGCCATCCTTCCACTGGGCAGCTTTCTAATCTTAACAAATACCAACTGAGCGCCTACCATGTGCCAGGCACTGTTCTCTGTGGGGAGAATACTCAGCAGCCCAGACAGGTTCTTACCCCCATGGAGCTTACAGTCTAGTGGGAGTGGAAGACAATAATTAAATGAATCTACAATACCATTTTGGGGTAATAAATGAAGGAAAATTGCTAGAGAAAAACAGACCAGGACTGGGGGGAAGAGGTGTTTTACTTTAGAGAGAATGATCAGGTAAGTCTCTCTAAGGAGGTAATATTACATCAGAAATCTGAAGAACATGAGGGATCCACTCAAAGACCTGGGGAAAGAACATTCTAGACAGAGGGCATGGCCCATGGATAGGGCTTGAGGAGGAAAGAGCTTGGTGTGTTTGAGAACAGCAAGCAGTCCAGGTGCCCCGAGGGGGGGGGCACTCAGGGGAGGCACGGAGAGAGCAAGCTCAGAGAGATGGGTGGTAGCAGTTCGAATGTCCTCCTGAGTGTGACTGGAGCCTTGTGAGTGGGAATGATGTGATCTGTTTCTCTCTGTTGTTATCCTTTGTTTAAACACTTAAGGACTCCTGGCTATTTGTTCAAATACTGTGTTCCGGTCTTCATGCAGTTCATATCATGCAGGTAGTTTTTACTTCATTAAGGTTATCTAGAATTTTCCCTTCAAAACCCTTTGGGGAAACACAAATTTTCTCAATGAATAGAGAAACGACCTTTCCTCCATCGATTACCTGAGATTTTGGGGGCAAAAATAGTGTTTAAACCATACTATATCAGTGCTGTTGGTTGGTTTATAGAATGACACCAGTACTGCCCCGAGGCTAAAATGGGCTCAGCCCCTACCTGTGCTCACCAGCACTCTCTCCGCCTGTCAGCCTTGCCACCTGCCTGCTTGTCTGCCAAAACGCTCACGTGTAGGCAGGAGCAAGGGCAATGGCATAGAATGCTGTTCAAACGATTTTCCTGCCACCACTGGCATGGATACAGCAAAAAATCAAGAGGATGCTAGAGGGAAGAGATTCTTCAGTCCACCACTTGGGAGGGGCCTGTGTGGCTGCTCTCGAAAAGTGAAGGGCAGAGTTGGAGCATGTGAGGGCAGGAAGCGACCTCAGAAGCCATCTAGTTCAGCCCTCAGAGGGAGGATGAAGCTGCTGCCCTGAGGGTGGGCACCATACACCAGCCCCCCACTTGCATCAGGACCACAATCAGTGCTTTCCGGTGTCAGGCCTCTGTACCTCTTGTTTGCTTCAGTACAGTCATTCCTTGTAGTTTTCCTGCCTGAAATCTCTCCCTGCTCCCACACTGCTACCTGTTTAATTTCTAGAGTTACAGAGCCGATCACATTACTACTATGTTTAATAACCTCTAGGGGATACTTCAGTGCCTTAAAACACAAAATCTGCACACTGCACTGTGGATTGTAATCTGAGCCCACTCTCCCTTTCTGGACTCATCTCCTACTATCTCCCCACATCCCACACTCTAGCCGCGTGGGGAAGGGATGGGGGACGACTCACTGAATCCAAGACATGCGTGTACTGGCCTGACTTTGCACAGACGGTGCCTCTGCCGAGGATGTCCTCCCTTCACTCCTCTGCTGTCAAGCTGAGCCCCAACACTGACTCTTTTGTGCTTCCTAGTCAAAGCCTCCCACCCTGTCCACCTCTGCCTTTCAGAACCAATTCCTCCTTCCCTTTATTATGCCAGCATTGTAATTGGAGCTTGGCCTATTATCACATTGTAGCATAATGATTTTTTAAAAATAAGTTTTTATTGATTTTAGAGAGAGGAAGGGAGAGGGAGAGAAACATCAATGTGAGAGAGAAACTTTGATCAGTTGCCTCCCGCACGTACCCCGACAGGGGGCTGAATCAAAAACCTAGTATAACAACTTCAAAGAAGGTGTGTTATCTGGAGGTTCTGCTTAGAGCCCAGGAAAGGAACTCGTGTTTAGGGCAGCAGTGCAGTTTACATGTATTAGAAGTGGAGCTAAGATGCACCTTTTCAGAACCAACTCGAGGCATGTGCCAGTTCTGCCTCTTGGACAGGGGTCAGTTAGAAAACTATGGCTGGCAGATGCCTGTTTTTATAAGACCTATGAGCAAAGAATAGATTTTACATTTTTAAATGGTTGGGGGAAAATCAAAAGAAGAATGCTATTTCATGAGATGCAAAAATTATGTGAAATCAAATTCCAGTGTTTATAAAGTTTTATTGCAACACAGGCACCCATTTGTTTACCATTGTCTTTTGGGCTGCAATGGCAGACTTGTGTGAGTTGCATCAGAGGTGATAAACTGCAAAGCCAAAAAAAAAAAAAAAAAGTATTATCTGGCCCTCTACCGAAAAAGTTTGTCAACTCATGCTCTATAATAGTAAAAGATACATCCATCCTTAAGTTCAGACTGCCATATCTACAGAGAAACAATCTAGATATACCCATTCTAGGGCTATGTTTTACCATTTCTAGTTTGATACTG